GCTAATTTTTTTGTATTTTTAGTAGAGACAGGGTTTCACCATGTTGACCAGGATGGCCTCGATCTCTTGACCCCGTGATCCACCCGCCTCGACCTCCCAAAGTGCTGGGATTACAGGCGTGAGCCACCGCGCCTGGCCGAATTTTATTTCTTAAAGTTACGGAGACTAAGTGCAAGGTTGAGGTGTCACATCTGGTGAGGATCTTCTTACTGGTAGAAACTCTCCGCAGAGTATCACATGTGAGGGAGCTCAGCATGCTAACATGTGACTCAGGTCTCTCTGACTCTGGTTTTCTTTTTGAGCTGGAGTTTCGCTCTTGTTGCCCAGGCTGCTGGAGCGCAGTGGTGCGATCTCAGGTCACTACAGCCTCCACCTCTGGATTCAAGCAATTCTTCTGCCTCAGCCTCCCGAGTGGCTGGTTTATAGGCACTCACCATCATGCCCAGCTAGTGTGTGTGTGTGTGTGTGTGTGTGTGTGTGTGTGTGTGCGTGCGTGCATGTGTGTGTGTGTGTTGTTAGAGACGGGGTTTCACCATGTTGGCCACGCTGGTCTTGAACTCCTGACCTCAGGTGATCCACTAACCTCAGCCTCCCAAAGTGCTGGAATTATAGGTGTGAGCCACCATGCCCAGCCTCTCTTCCTCTTCTTACAAAGCCACCAGTCACACTTTCATGATAACCTATTACTGTATCAATCCTTGAAAGGGTTAATCCATTCATGAGGGCAGAAGGAACCCTCACAATCCAATCATCTCTTAAAATCCCCACCTCTTAATACTGCCACATGGAGGATTAAATTTCAACATGAGTTTTGGAGGGGGCAGATATTCAAACCATAGCAGATATCATTCATTTTAACTTGTCAAATTCTTTTCTGATATAACATTAGAATAATATCAGTATGTTAATTAACAGTACCTTTTTTTACAGGGGCAAAATTACTAAGTTAAAGCTAGTTCTGATTTTTTTCACCTGAGTAAAGATGACTTTTAAAACCTTAATGTAATAAAATGAAAAAGAAGAAAATATAGATTTAATGAATGAGTCCAACCTCCAGGGAACTTACGTTTTGGTCCATATTCTTTTCCTTCATGCAAACAGTGGTGACAAGGCACACAGCATCTCTGCCTTCCCTGTCCCTGTCCTACTACTGTTAAATGCTGAATTGAAGTCCACAGGAAACAATTAGTATATAAACTACTTCAGGATTTTCAAGTGCTTCTATTCTTTAATTTTAAGAAAATTTTGACTTGTGTGTGGAAATGTTTTCTGATCAATAAAAACATGTCTAGGCCTAAGAAGGACCTAAGCCATCTTCTGCCGATGTTTGCAATGTGTTGCAGATGGAGTCTATATATGCAATACAAATGAGAATAACAACAATAATTAGTAATTATAATATCTAATACTTATTAGTACCGTACTAAATGTCAGGCACGGTTCTAAGTGGTTTGCATGTAATGCCTCATTTAATCCTTATAACACCCTGTGAGGTAGATAGTATAATTATCCCCATTTACAGAATAATGAAAAACTGAGGTACATTGAGATTAAACCATTTTCCCAAGTTCACAGAGATTAATGTTGCAGACCCTAGCATTAATGATCATAACCACTATTCAATCCTGCCTATTAAGACCCAGCAATCCCATTACTTGGTATATACCCAAAGGATTATAAAACATTCAGTTACAAAGACACATGCACATGTATGTTTATTACAGCACTGTTTACAATAGCAAAGACTTGGAACCAACCCAAATGCCCGTCAATGATAGACTGGATAAAAAAAAAAAAATGTGGCACATATACAGCATGGAATACTATGCAGCCATGAAAAAGGATGAGTTCATGTCCTTTGCCGGGACATGGTTCAAGCTGGAAACCATCATTCTCAGCAAACTAATGCAGAAACAGAAAACCAAACACTGCATGTTCTCGCTCATAAAAGAGTATTGAACAATGAGAACACATGGACACAGGGAGGGGAACATCACACACTGGGGCCTGTCAGGGGATGAGGGGCTGGGGGAGGAACAGCAGGGGGTAGGGGAATTGGGGAGGGAGAACATTAGGAGAACCACCTAATGTAGATGACAGGGGGATGGATGCAGCAAACCAGCACCTTGGCACGTGTATACCTGTGAAACAAACCTGCACTATCTGCACATGTGCCCCAGAAGTTAAAGTATATTTAAAAAACGGAATATTAAATGAGAATTTTTTTTTCTTTTTTTTTTTATTGCATTTTAGGTTTTGGGGTACATGTGATGAACATGCAAGATTGTTGCATAGGTACACACATGGCAGTGTGCTTTGCTGCCTTCCGTCCCCTCACCTGTATCTGTCATTTCTCCCCATGCTATCTCTTCCCACCTCCCCACCCCCCGCCCCTCCCCCATTTCCCCCCAACAGACCCCAGTGTGTAGTGCTCCCCTCCCTGTGTCCATGTGTTCTCATTGTTCAACACCCGCCTATGAGCGAGAATATACGGTGTTTGATTTTCTGCTCTTGTGTCAGTTTGCTGAGAATGATGGTTTCCAGGTTCATCCATGTCCCTAGAATTGCTAAGGTATATATTCAAAAGTTTAAAGGGTTTTTTTAAAAAAAAAAAAAAACTTTATAATTTCACAGAGAAATCTAACCTTCTAAAAAACTAACATCGAATATGAGTTTGAGCATTGATCATAGTAATTCAATTATATATGTTAAGTTTTTAATAAGGAGATACCCTGTCAAGTTGATACAAAAAGAGCTGGGCTGTTGCAAAATTAGAAGTTGTAGCCTACTTGGAAATACTACTTAAATTTTTATCACTTAAAAGCTCATTACCAACTAAGATAAAAATGAAATACTTGACATTTTGGTATCTGTGATATTAAAAAGAACTAATATTTAATATTCAAGTGGCAACATCTTGAAGAGTTTGCACACAACACCCACAGGGATCGATTTTTCTCTAAAACGGCCTTCAGGAGTCTGCCTTTTGAACAGCTGACACCTCCATTCTCCACATCCCTCCTTCCTGCCAGCACCATGGGGTGCTCACGGAGTGCAGCAGCGGACATGTAATTCACTGCAGGATTTGTCTTTGCAAATAATGGAGAATGAGGGAAATTAAGAAAAATGTAATTTCCACAGAATCAACCTCAGTGTAATCTTTGCTACTAAAAATGAATAGATGTCTTCGGAGGGCTTTTCTCCGTATGCCCTCTCAGTCCCCTTTATATACCAGCTATGAGGAGAGAGAAGAATCATTCCTACCTAATTGATCATCAGTCATTCACCACCCGTACCAAGGCTGCATGATGACAAGTGTACTGTTGCCTGGCATTTTTCCAGTTGACTAATTGTCGCAGTACTAATTTACTTACCTGTGGAATTTTCAACTTCCCCAGCCTGCCGTCAAGAAGATGCGTAAGAATGGAATAAAGGATTTAAAATGCTGAATATTATACAATATTTCACTACAAGGCTTTGACTAAGCCAGGTATTAGGTGGCCATAATTACTCATGGCTGGAGTAAAAAACAAACAACAACCTTGTCGCATATACATCTATCTGGTAGAATGACAAGAATCAAGTGAACCCATTTTTTCTGATGTAGAGAAAAAAAAGTACTAATCAGACTACCTAAAACACGTTTCTTGATCTGCATGGCTTAGAGTAAATGTACAGTTCAATTACTAATAAGTTCCGCATTACAAAACACTTCCTTGTTGTTGTTGTTGCTAGTATTATTTAAGACAATGTCTTTTCTATATCAAATAGTAAGATAAAGGAGTAATATACTGGCTTTTTTTCCAAAAAATGTGGAAAAGTTTATAAAGGAGACATGGGCATATATGACTTTAACTGCATAAACTAGTAAACCAGTTTGGGACATCTATACCAAACAATCTGGCCACCAGGATTTTTTTAATGATAGATTGTACTTTTGAAAATTAGTATTTCTGGTGGAAAATTATTACCCACAGGTATAATAGCTGACTTTTCTGAATATCTTATTGTTGATGACCCTCACCTGTGGTACTTAGATTTGTTTGATGCATCTAGAAAATTACCTAGCAACTATGCAACTGTAATTTTTGTCATAACAAATATAAATGTAATTTGACCAGTTTGAAAAAATATGCTTGGTTATGATACAAGCAAAAATTTATAAAGTTCAGGATTTCCTGAGGAAATTTGAATAGAATCACTCATTTAGTCTATTATATAGTCTACTAAATACAAATTCTATAGGTTGCCTAATCACTCATCCTATAGTATTATTAGGTCCTCTAAGGAAAAAAAAAAAAAAAGGTTTTTGGTCAAGTTTGGGAAATGCTGGATTAATTATGTATAGGCTTAGCTTCATTGTTGCAAAATATCACTTTAGAAACTTTATTTCAGGCACTTTGATATGCTCATCTGCACTCTGAAGAGACAGTGTATGGTCTTTTCCAACCTCATTTGACCCAAAGGTCCTATCACAGCTCATCTCCGAAGCCAACAGTCTGCAGAGCAGGCTCTGCGTTGACTCACGCCTGGCACATCTCAGGGATTCAATCCATTTTAGCGAAGTTCCAACATTATGCACTTTCAATTGAATTCAAATGGTCTGTGATGTTCTTTGCCTTAGACTTGTTCATGAGGATAAATATGCAAATAGAATCAGAAACACAAACTCATTTTTTCTACCAGATCTCAGCCCACATATTCCAAGGTAAAGGAGTAGCGCAATAATCCATTCTGGCACATTGACCTACAGCAACACTATTCCTTAAAATAGGATTTTTAAGCGATAGAAAAGGAGACGGAAAACAACAGCTTCCTACCCAGCACATGCCTTCCGTTTAGCATGTCTGGAAGACCGTCTCCTTCATTTCAAAATTGATAGCCAACTTTTTTTGTTGTTTTGCTATTCAAATTTCTGTCCTCTTTTTTCCAGCCTATTTGCTCTAACACTGAATTTTAAGCATCTCTAAAAATGCTTGATATGTTATTATTCTTTCCAGATATCCTCTGAGAGCCAAGCAAAGAACATCAAGGAAGAAAGAGGAATGAGGCTGGATACGGTGCAGTGAAAAAGGCAGTTCCCGGAGAGGGGCACTCACGACCCCGAGACTCGACGGTGCTATCAGCATGAGAACTTACCGCTACTTCTTGCTGCTCTTTTGGGTGGGTCAGCCCTACCCAGCTCTCTCAACTCCACTGTCTAGGAGGACTAGTGGTTTCCCAGCAAAGAAAAGGGCCCTGGAGCTCACTGGAAACAGCAAAAATGAGCTGAACCGTTCAAAAAGGAGCTGGATGTGGAATCAGTTCTTTCTCCTGGAGGAATACACAGGATCCGATTATCAGTATGTGGGCAAGGTAGGATTCCTTTGATGTTCTGGGTTTAAAAGCCTGAAGAAGTTACTTCTAATAAATAGACGGGGAGGATGCGAACTATTCCCCAAAAGATTGTTGCTTATCTGGTAAGACTTTCTTTTTTTCCACTTGAGTAGTTTCGGGAAGAAGACTGTAGCAAGAAGCTGAGAAATGTTAGCCTTGCCACAAAGAGAGAGAAAATGCTCCAGTTGAAAGTGAAACGCCCACAACCACTCGCATAGGATTATCATAAATCCTTTAATTTTTACTGTAGCTTGAAAAATGTGGTCTGGCTATTCTATAAAGTAGGGTGTATTAAAAATAGGAATGGAGAGATTAAGCTGTAAAGAAAGGAAGGCTCCTTTTTCTCTCATTCTAAAAGCAAATATTCTGAGCTATAGTCCTTTGGCCAAGTTCAGATTAACAACTTCTTAACTCTGCTACCTCTGGCACCATGTATTCTCTGGCCACATGGAGCCCTTTGCTGTCAAAACCCACCACTGCCTTAGCTTTGACAGCTGCTGCTGCTACTGCTAAGTCTTATCTCAGATAGTTGGCAAACAAAACAGGTATTTCAAAATCTTGTGGTCTAAGTGTGGCAAAATTTGTAAAAGAGAAAAATGCTTATGTAAAGGTACTCTTTCCAAATATCATCTGACCATTTTTTTTGACTCCAGAAAGTAAAGTGAGAAGGCATCACTTATTATAGCCCTCACAGATTACTGGAGCTGAGTCAGGGAAACAGCTTGGTTAGCCTGTCATCATGAGTTTTGTTGGAATTTTATCATCAGCTCCGAACTTGTTGCAGAATATCTGCATACTAAAAAGATGTTGAAGAAAAAAACACTGTTACAAGTTGGTACTTTGTAGGTTCTGTGCCTCATAAGGTAATATTGATTTTTTAAAAACCATTGTCACACATCCCTTCATAAACAAACTGAGAATGAACATAAAAATGTACATGCAAAAATGCATTCATTTATGATTACAGCTATGATTTTAAGACATCTATATTAGGATATCATGCAAAAAAATACATACTTTTTGCAGATTCCAAAGGCTGCATGTTCACACTTCAATCTGTGATCAAATATCCCTGAATAACCATATGTAAATATTCTTTTTAAGTATTTACCACCATAAATGAAGGAAAGTCATCCATGGCTTGGGCTGACATAACCAAGAAGTGTTCCAATGATGTGAATTATTAATATGGAATAAAGTAAGAGAGGAAGTATTCAGTGAAAGGGTGAACATCAGCACAGATCCCCAAGAATCTAGCCATGTTTGCTGTGAAATTCACACTCTGTGTGACTTCTAAAGACCGTTCAGCTCCTTGTACTTCATCCCATTTCCTTTGTGAAATTTGAAGAACACTAAGTTAACTGGGTGATGGTTGTAAAAAATCATCAACGTCTTAAAAATCTTTAAAGCAATTTTTACAACACAAAGAGCATCATTGCCATAGAAGATCAAGTTTTAAAAAGTGCTTTATCTAAATAACGGCTCCCCTTTCTCCTTTCCAGTTTTTTTCTCCAATTATGATGCCGTTTTACACCTAGAATGCCATATTTTCTTTAAAAAAAAAAAAAAGGCCAGGTTATGTCAGGATACTAGAAACAGCAGTGGATAAAACCACATAAGAATCAGTTTTACAATTATAATTGTGAGAAGGAATATTGCCATGGGGAAAAGTTACAAGCTGTGGACTCGAGCAGATCTGAGAATGCGTCGCTATGCTGCTAGTTGCCAATTACGTGACCCAGGACAGGTTATTAACCTTCCTGGGCTTTAGTTTCTTCACCCAGAAAGTGCATGCAGCAATGCCTACTGGTGGAGCTGCACTAGTGGCAGGGACAGAGTATGTACATAAAGAAGTTACTATTATTGGTAAAAATCCACTGTCTATGTTCTATTAAATCTACGTGCAATGCATTGAAGTGACATATTGACTTCTATATCACTGCAGAAGTAAAATGAGGTAATTAACAAATCTCTGTGGAAAATATAGAGAAGCATTGGCAAAATATCTTCACAGCTACAGCTTTGACTAGATTAGTTGGATTTGGATAGTTTATTGGCAGCTAGATAAATTTCCCACCCTCCTCATCATCTGTCCTTCCCTGCTGCCCCTCCCTCTCCTCCTTGTGGTTATAATACAGGAGATATTTGCAGAAAAAAAAAAATCAAGGGTAACAGCTGAAGTTGTCCTAGTTGCCACCATGGCTGTATCAGACACATGTTAGAGGCGGATTTGAGCTGTTGATATGGCATTTTCTCAAATTCCTCTTTGAAGTTATAGGATATCAACAGACAAAACAATTTCACTAGCATTTTTTTACCACCATTCAAAAATAGAAAAACACACTCTTTAAAAAGAAGATGAAGGAGAGAGTTGCCTCTCATCTGTGACCACAAGTTGGTCCACCTTTAATTTACCTGGAGTAAAAGAGACACCTCATATGATTATCCAGCTCACGAGGTCAGGAAACTTTTGGAAGAAAAAAAGTGGTTAGACCAGAGCAGAGGTTCCGAAACTTTCCTGGTTCACAGTCCTTCTTCACAGTGACCTGAGACTCAGAGCAACACCTCACAGTGCCATGTATTAAATCGTTAGACTCAAACAACGTAATGAGTATTTTTGTTCTAACAACTTAATAATTATTTGAAAAACCAATACACATAAATTGACAAAATTTATTTTCCTCTTAACCACAGTTACAAATGGTATATGTGCATCTCTTGAACACTGCACAACTTCTCAATTAGATCGGACACCGCCCTCCCGTTTCCTTTTCCATCTTGATTTTTGCACTGTAATTGCTTTTTATCACAGCCACTATGAAAAACCCAGCTTTATAAGTATAAATCATTGAAATGAATGCAGCACCACCTACTGTTGAAACTGTGAACTACCTTGAGCTAGTAATTCACAAGGGGTCTGCAGAGGTCGTGCTGCTGTATTTCTCTCCTTTTCCCTCCTTTTTTCTATTTAATTCTTTTTTGAGCTGGGGTCTTGCTTTGTCACCCAGCATTAAGTTCAGCAGCACATTCTCCGCTCACTGCAGCCTCAACTTCCTGGGCTCAAGCTGTCCTCCTGCCCCAGCCTCCCAACTAGCTGAGACTACAGCATGAACCACCGTACCAGGCTGTCCCTCCAAATTTTACAATATTTCCGGTTCCATTTCCTCCTCCAACTGACATTGCCTCAGTGCATACTCTGGGAACCATTAGAATAGTTAGGCTGACATACAAAGGTGTACCAAGGCTAATAGAACCTTTAATTATGCTATTTGAGCAGACTACTGCTAACTAAAAATTACTCAGAGCCTGTGGTGGGTGCCTAACACTCAAAAGATCGATGTGTATGTGGAAGGACAGAAGCATTAACTGAGGGAAAGTAATGCTGTTGAGAAACTAACACTTAAAATAGAAGAAAAAATGTTTACATTATAAACATCTGTTTCTCTTTGTGTTCATTTGAAATAATGATGATGCAGATTAATTGGTGGTAAATCATCGTGAGGATGGTGGAGTGAGAAAAATGTGAGAATAAGTGAGGAAAGCAAAGGGCTTTCAGGTGTAAAAGGGAGAAAAAAAGAGAGTTCATGGGCGGGGGGTGGGGGCGGATGGGGGTCACAGCAGCCAAAGAGGAGTCCACGGGCTGGAATGGCTGTGAGAGAATAGACAAGATGGTGCTTTGCAATCGAAGCACAAGCAGCTGCAGAGAGACCTGCCTCCTCCTCCATCTTACCTTTCCTCACCCTTCCACTGCGTTCTAGTGCCAGCAAGATTAATACAGAGACAGGGACAAGATGCGGTTGGTGGGGGGATAGTGGTGAAAGCCAATTATAGTTGAAATATTGACAAACCAAATTCTGATTTATGAAAAATGTCAACTTCCACTCACTTAAAATGGTGGTGGCAGGAACAGGTAACAGGATAAGAAGAAATAAGTGGGCCTGTATCCAGTACGTTTCTGAGTTTGTGAGTTTAAGATATAAAAATGGGATGTGATTGCTTTCTAAACTGCATCTCCTTGTGGGGGCTGCTTGGAGCTGCTTTAGCTTGAGTGGCATCTGCCTCACCTGGGAACCTGTTAGGAATGCAGAGTCTCCGGCCCCACCTCCGATCTGAGTGAATCAGCAATCTGCATTTTAACAAGATCCCCAGGTGAATTGTATGCACTAAAAATTTGAGAAGCGTGGCTTTTAAAAATACCTTCCCGGTCTCCCCTCCCCAGAAATTCTGATTTAGTTGGTTTTTAATTCTTTATGATTCTAACATGTTGCCAAATTTGGGAGCCACTGGCCCAGGAGGATATTATTGCCAATCATGATTTTAAAAATGTGGTAAGTTCAGTAATAAATTGGGCATCCACAAAGTATTATCAAAATGAAAAGAAGAGCCGCTCTGGGGCTCAGCAGAGCTTCCTAGGTGTCTGAACCCCATCTAAAGACAGAGCAGGTGTTAGCTTACACCGCAGCAGGACAATCGCCAGGACCTCCCAGTTAATCGGATGTAGAAGCCAAAGGACCAAAAGCTGGAGTTCAAAGAGTCAGAGATTTAGAGACTGAACAACCAGCAGAATAAAGGAGTCCTAACACCAACAGAAAACATAAAGAAATACAGATTTTCTTGTCAGGCTGAAGAAAAGAGTGTTTTATTTTTGTACAAAATCCACATGGGTTATCTTTGGCTTATGTAAACTTAATATATTACGCAGCCATCAAAAACGATGAGTTCATGTCCTTTGTAGGGACATGGATGAACCTGGAAACCATCATTCTCAGCAAACTGACACAAGAGCAGAAAATCAAACACCGCATGTTCTCACTCATAGGCGGGTGTTGAACAATGAGAACATGTGGACACAGGGAGGGGAGCACTACACGCTGGGGTCTGTTGGGGGGAAATGGGGGAGGGACGGGGGTGGGGAGGTGGAGAGAGACAGCATGGGGAGAAATGACAGATAAAGGTGAGGGGAGGGAAGGCAGCAAACC